GGGACGCAGGCCTGCCCCAGATGCAGGGATCGGTCCCGCTTCGGGGGGGGCACCAGAAGCCCCACAGCAGCACTCTCTGCGTTGCGCAGAGGCAGCCCCTGAGGACAGGTTCCCTTCAAGCCCTCCAAGTGGAGGGTCAGCGCCATGTCTGGGGCCGCCGGGCTGCAGCATCACGTTGTGTTGCACAAAGAAGCAAGCTTCCTCTTTAGCAACTCACCTGCCGGCCCAAGCAGTGTTGTGGGTATTTCTGGGGAGGAGCCAGGTTGGCGGTCCTGATCCGGGCGTGCAAAGTCGCCGAGCCTTGGCTGGAGCGCTTCTGCAGCCTGCCGGGGCGAGGGGGGCACCGCCCCCAGATGGCCAGGAAGGTTCAGCCGGGCTTCCGGATTCAGGCCATCCCACCTCCCCCTTCCCCCAAGATCTCGGACATCCAGGTGACCGGCCAGTCGGAGGACATGACAGCCAAGGAGAAGTTGCTGCTGTGGTCACAGCGCATGGTGGAGGGGTACCAGGGCTTGCGCTGCGACAACTTCACCTCCAGCTGGCGCGATGGCCGCCTCTTCAACGCCATCATCCACAGGCACAAGTAAGGGGCAGGGCAGGGCAGGGCAGGGCAGGGCAGGGCAGGGGTGGTGGGCGGGCAAGCGACGGCTCCATTGGAGGCGCCCGTGGAACGCAAACAGCAGGAAGCCACGTGATTTCCCCACAGAACGCTCCTGCCGTTCTTCCTTGCCCCTGGAATCTTCTGCCCCGTGGCCTTTCCTTCCGTCCTCCCAGGCTGCGCATGCCCACGTAATTCCGTGGAGGCAGCAGCTGCGCTCAGCCTACGGGGTTGGCCTTGCCCACGCGTGATCCTCCTCCTCTCGTTCTCCTCACTTGCAAAGCCCTGCTGGGCTCCCCTGCCCACTCCTGCGTTGCTGCTGTTGCTGCCGCCGCCGCCACCAGGCTGCCAGGCTTGCGAAGGGAGGAAATGTGTTGCTGCCGCCCTCCTTGGCGCTTACAAAGGGATAAGGACGGGTAGGAGCCCGTCTGCCCTGGCCTCTCGCTCCACCCCCCAGCTGAGGGAGGGAAGGGGTCCAGCACACCCGCCGGCACCCCGCAACCAGCTCAAGCAGCCGGGGCCGGGGCGCCTTCTTCCCTGCCACCGGGGCCCACTCCCGAGTGAGGGCCAGGTAGCGGGGCCCGGGAGCATCAGGTAGACCGTCCCTGGAGGGGAGGAGCGGCTTGCGGGGCCATGTGAGGAAGTGTCTGCCGTTGGCTCAGACCCGCTGCTGACCGACAGGTTGGAAGTCTGGTCGCTTCTGGGCCTGCTCCACGCTGTGGCTGGAGGATCACATGGGGAGCCCGCATGTCAGGGCCCCTCCCCGAACAAGAAGCGTCGGGGCAACGTTCCTCGCAGGACGCTGAGCCTTCGTTTGGTTCCCGTGGCACAAGAGGGGGCACCCTGGATTTTTTGTCCTCAGTTTGTTGAGGGGGAGGCACAGACTGTGCGGGGTGCTTTGAAAGCAGGGGGGTCCAGCCATTCAGAGAGCTGGGGAGGGTGGAGCACTGCGTGTTCTGCTGATGAGGGTCCTGCCTTGGGGCCACCCCTCTGATACTGCAGCAGGCCTTGAGGACTGGAACCTTGGGTCTTTTCCATTCCTGGGAAGCTGATCGCTCCAGCTGTTTCCGTGCTCTCTGTTGTAAGGGGCAGGGAGCAGAGGCTTGAGGTCCCACCTTTGCTCCTCAAAAGCCTTGTGCTGGGCTAGACCGCTGCAGCCTGTGGAAGAACCCCGGGGGGGCACAAAGGGTGGTGTGGCCAGAGCTGGTGCCAGTGAGCTGCTGCAGAGGCTGCCCCGTCAGGCAGATAAGCACCCCATTGATGGGTGCAGGCTGTGTTCGGGGTCTGTCCGACCCCCGGTCCAGCCGCTGCAGGTCTAGGCAGGAGGTCAGGCGTGGGGATGGGACCAGGCGGCAGCCTTCCCGGGTACAGGAAGCTCAGCCTCTTCCCAGGGCAAGCTAGATGGGGCCACTGGGGAGCCTGACCCCCAGCCACCGCCTCTTCCCTTCCCGCTCCAGGCCGATGCTGATTGACATGAACAAGGTCTACCACCAGAGCAACGTGGAGAACCTGGAGCGCGCCTTCACGGTGGCAGAACATGACCTGGGGGTGACGCGGCTGCTGGATCCAGAAGGTGCCCTGGTGGGCTGCCTGAGGGGTGGGGTGGGGGCTCCTTGGGAAGAGGACAGCCCAACACTCACGTCCCCCTTTCTCTTTCCCAGACGTGGATGTGCCCCAACCCGATGAAAAGTCAATCATTACCTACGTTTCCTCCCTCTATGATGCCATGCCGCGAGTGCCAGATGTGCAGGACGGGATCAAGGCCAACGTGAGTGGTGGGGGGATGGAATGGGGAGGCCTGGACCGTCTGGGCAGAGGATGTGACCTCAGGACCCACCTTTTCCCTTGTGCCCCCCTCAGGAGCTGCAGCTACGCTGGCAGGAATACTATGGAGTGGTCAGCCTGCTCCTGCAGTGGATCCAGCACCACACAGTGACCTTTGAGGAACGGAAGTTCCCTGCCAGCTATGAGGAGATCGAGGTGAGAGCGTGCCCAGCTCCTGCCACCCTATCTTGGCCTCTGTGCTGTGCCACATCCCTCTCAGATGGGGTGCAGCCTTTTCTCCTGCAGGCAGGCCTGGTCCTCCCTTCTGGGTTGGGGGAGGCGCCCCCCCAGTGGTTGGCTGGGGGTGAAAGTGCTACTCCCTCGAACAGGCCTGGGAGCCCCTTCTATGGCCAGCTTTGCCCCCATGAGTTCACCAGGGAGAAGGGTGCTGGCTGCTTTGGCCCAGACCAAAGGGCCCTGTGGGGCTTCATGGCCTCTCCCTGCCCACTTGGGCCTCCCCCAAGACCCTGGCCCATCCCACCACCCCCTGCCTGTGCTGTCCTGCAGATCCTGTGGCACCAGTTCCTTAAGTTCAAGGAGACGGAGCTGCCCGCCAAGGAGGCCGACAAGAACCGCTCCAAGGTGATCTTCCAGTCTCTGGAGGTGAGCCTGAAGAGCCCCCTGCCCCACCCCCAGGCACCCTGGCAACCTCTGTGAGCCCCTGGGCCAGCCAGCAGGCTAGCCTACAGGAGGGAGGGGTCGCCTTCCCTCCCAGGCCCTGTCCAAAGCAGCTCCCCTCCCGTGTGCTTCTGGCTCTACTAGGCTGCTGTGCAGAGCGGGCAGCTGAAGGTCCCTCCCGGGTACCACCCGCTGGACGTGGAGAAGGAGTGGGGCGGGTTGCACGTTGCCATCCTGGAGAGGGAGAAGCTTCTGCGCTCGGAGTTTGAGAGGCAAGCAAAGTCTGGCGGAGCGCTTGGGAGCAGGGGCTGGAGCCGGGCCCTTCCTCTTCCAGAGAAGGGGGCACGGAGCCTCCCAGGCAGGCGGGCGACTCCCTCCCTCTGGCCGCAGCCA